ACACACACACACACACACACACACACAATTTTCCCCTTCTTCTCCTTCCTGTCTCCCACAGGCTACAAGCGGTTCTGTGTCACTCGAGAGACAGCCGAAAAGCCACGACACTTACGATGCGGGTCTCTCCCTGTGCGGTCCTCTTCCTCTTCCTCCTGAGCCTCTCGCCGGGCGTCAGGGCACAGGGCGAGGGCGATGACGCGTTTGACGACGAAGACAGCAACAACCAGGTGCAGCAATCGCGGGAGTCCGGCCGGAACCAGGATAGCTCGTGCAGTCGTTGTGTGCGCGACAGTGTGTGTCACAACGGTCGCTGCGTGTGTCGGCCGGGTTACCAAGGCAGCGGCGACTTCTTCTGCAACAACCCCAACACGTTCTACACCTGTGAGAGCAGCTACGACCCCGTGATGAAGACCCTGGGAGGCCAGCGATACGTGTATCATTTCCTGGGCTCCACGCGTCTGGTTTGGATCACCACCCAGAAAGCTACCGGCGGGCTGTGTCACTTCCACTTGTGGGGCTGGGCGGTGAGGTACAGAGGGAAGTTTTACTACGGCGGTCTGTCGTTCCGTCTGGACCAAGACCACCCGTCTGGGGACACATCGGTCAGCAAAGGCCACATCGACGCCACAGTGGACAGCAACGGTCAGTACAGGTGGACCATCACCATCACAGGGGACGATGGGAGCAAGTCGGACCAAGAGGATTTCACGGAGGGCAGATCTTCCAGCAGCGCCGACTGGGGAGGTTGCAACGCGGAGATCCGACGAATCGACGGCAACTTCCTCCGGATCACCCTCTACTGCTGCGGGATACAGTTCGCCATCAGGCAGTTCAACCCTTATCGCCCCCACGCCGTGCCCGGGTTCTGGTTCCGGGTGGCCAGATATTCCCAGCCGAGTTACGGCGCCTGGGACAACATGAGAACCGAACCCCTGTGCCTGGACCACATCCGGAGAGTGACCGTCAATGACATCATCAGGAACACCAGCATCACCATCGGCAGACGCGAGGCCTTGACCTTCCACGCCATCACCAACACGCCGGTGACCAACTACCCGCGCGCGCCGTCCAACATCGGAGTCCTCAAGAGCATGTTCCGAGGGTGTGAGCCCGAGAAGCGGGACCAGCTCTTCGTGTGGGTGCGCCATTTCTTCAACAAGCCCACCCTCACCTCCTGCCTCAACGGACGGAGCGGCAACTCGGAGGAGCAGACAATCCTGGCCATCCTCCACGCCATCAACTACATCTGTAGCGACAGCTCCGACAGCTGCCAGCCCGTGGTGAAAAAGCTCAAGGAGGCCCCATGCCTCAGGGTGGTCAACAAGTTCCCGGAGCTTGTCAGCATATCCCGCACCAGCTGTGAGGGCGGCATGAACGATATGTTTGAGAACGGGGAGCAGTAACTGACAAAACTCTTCCACTCGGAACGCACGGGCAAGGAATCAGTCTGCTTCTCTCTCTCCCCACTACCAGAAAATAGCAAAGTTCAGGGAAAATGAACAACGAACCAATCTCTCTGTCTCTCCCCGCCCCCCTCCCGAGAAAATAATCAGGGAAATGTTTCAAGAGATTTTGGTTTTAGTTAGAAACCAGTCGGTGCTCATCAATGCGACCAAACTATCTGAATAAATAGAGTGAAAAAAAAAGAACCACCTTGTTATGTCATGAACTGAATTTAAAAAAAATGATATTTCGCTCTTACAATTATAATAGCTAGTCCGTCAATATTTGACGATGAACAACACACCCGCAGAGGAATATTATATTTCTCCACTAAAAGCAGACGTTTGACAAGCGGGGACGATGACGCGTTTGACGACGAAGACAGCGAGAAAGAGCAAAGCAAACACCAGACTCACCCTCTCGCCTAGGTACAATGTATCTAACAAATGGTGAAATAGTATGAGTTTAACGCCCCTATCACCACTATTAGGTTATTTTAGAGGAGGGACCTCCTAATTTAACGTCCGTCTCCGATAGGACTGAGCCAAGTGGGAAGTTCGTGTAAAGTGCCTTTCCCAAGGACGCAACGTGTGACCGAACTGAGGCTCGAACCTCACACCCAATGTATCTGATGGCAAGATAAAGACAATACAATCTGATTAGTCCCTACCTCCGAATTTACAAAGTTCTATCTGCTAAGCACTTAGTTCTGAGAACTTTGACCTCAAAGATTATGAGGGGGCTCTCGTGGCCTAGAGGTTAAGGTGTTGGCCTCTCATTCAAAGGTCCCGGGTTCGAATCCGGGTAGCGACCAAAAAAATTTTCTTCTCTAAAATTGTCTCCTTTCACCTCCTTTCCTGCTCTCTAGCAATGTTCTGTTGTCTGCTTTAATTTCAACTATCTGCCACCACCCCCTCACCTCCTTTGCCCCTTCCTCTGGGCTCCTGACTCTTTCTGCAGCCTTTCTACTGCTACTCCTTGGCTCCTCCTTACTGCTGTCTTTCCGCCACACCCCTGATCTTTTGGTAGGAAAGATCTACACCTAGCCTTCTCGGACAAGGGCGAAAAATCTCGGAGGGCCCGTGTGCAAGTTGCGCACGTTAAAGATCCCTTGGTGGTCTCAAATCGATAAGAGTAGGCTTTGGCCGCCACCCGGGCAAAATTCAAAATGTCCTACCAACTGAAAATATTAGGTGTGTTCCGCGCGCTCATATGACCTTATGCAGTTGCGAGCGCCGTAAAACACTTTACAAGAAAAAAAAATGATTTTGAGTTTCACACCATGCAAAGCTTTTTCGAATTCAATTCTTTGAAAAAATCTTGATAACGACTCGGAATAATCTTACTATTTTGATAGAGCAGACAGAACACGTGGTTTCTGACCTTATGGTCTTAGTAACTCAAAATGGTAAAAAAAAAAAAAACGTCAGGTAGAACTTTGTAATTCTGTGGTAGCGTAGTGTCTAGGTGTAGGTGTAGGAAGGTGTCAGAATGTTTTGTTAAATAGTTATAGTAGAGTTTTTACGGCGCTCGCAACTGCATAAGGTCATATGAGCGCCAAGGGGTGGATGTCAAAAGAGAAGTCCTTACAGGGAATCAGACTTACTCTGCTCACCTCTCTAGCTTCAACAGCACAAAGTCTGCTTCAACTATCAAGGCACCCCGGAAATAGAGGTCACAAGCGTGTGACATACATACAAAAGAAGTAGAGGAAAAATGACAATAGTGAGGATTAGGACAGAAAAAGCAGCAGTTCCCTGTTGTAGTTCAGGCACAGTTATGAGCATGACATTGTTGGATCAGCCCATTTACAATTCTACTCTGCATTAAAACGAGAAATGTCCCCCATTTGGGAATGGCCTAAAGTGTGACACTTCAGTCAGTGGCACCGCCCCGGGGGCTGGTGTCAGAATGTCACCCATGTCGAAGGCCAGACTGCCCAGAGGTACCACCTGAGCCTCGCAGTCCCATCTGACCAGGGTTTGAAGACCTGGGCCAAGAACACTATACTCAGCGGTGGCCCCACGCTGTAGCTGCTAGGCCAGCAAAGTTGCTCCCCTTTTGGACGGCAGTATGGCTTCTTCGAAAACCAGGAGAGAATGAAAAAAAAAGGCTTAAACCCCATCCTACCATACCCTACCGTAGTACACTTTCTAAAGACGGCAGTTCGAAAAACAGGAACTTACATTTTAGTGCCAAACGAAAGTACCCCACCCCTTCCCCCCTCTGCCCCCTCCGCCCCCCCCCCAACCTTACATACGATGTCATCCGTCAAAGATTTAGTCCTCCATCATTGTTTGAAGAACGACAAAAGAAATAATGTCCAAAAAGGCATTTTTCAACCAATTTTAACACTCTATTCGACCCAAAATGGGTCGTTCTGAAGGCACGTTTTTCGTTTTAGTTCGAGTTCTACGGTCATTGCGGCACAGTTCGACCATATGTGAAGCAGCGTGGTGGAATCAGGCTCTCGTCAAAATAATCAAAGTGAACTTGCAATCTTCCACAGGTTTGTGAATTTTAATCAAATTTTGTTTTTGGGCTCAACACCTTTTATGGCCATTAAAGAACTCATTTCTGTGTGGATTTTACTGAAAAACGTTGATTAAAGGCACAAAAGATGTTAATTTTCAGTAACCACGGACTCTTAAGCTAAGAAAATAACTAATATTTGGCGGCAATTTTCTCACTAATTTTACCTCAGAAAAAAGTGACCCCCACCTCCTTCATTCGCAAATATCTCGACTTGTCTTCAAGATAAATGGATATTTTTATCATCCAAATAAAAGCAATTGAACCAGCTTTATGATGATACCAATAACTCTAAGTGTTCCAAAATTGACGAGAGCCTGATTCCACCACGCTGCCTCACATATAAGTGTCGAAGGTTGTATTATAAGTTTTACAAGAAACTAACAAGCTCAAAATAGAAGGAGGGGAGATAAGAACGATAGATGTTTGATAAAAAAGAAGGAGCAAAAAACACAGAGCACCCGCCAACAACCCGCTTCTGAAGGCAGCTCATGACATAATCTAAGAGAAGATGATTGACAGCCATGATCGATTCCCCCAGTCCACATAGTTTCGGTGGTGTAGGTAGTCTGGTGGTTAGGCCACCTGACTCGTAATCGTGAGAAAAATGGTGAACTGGTATACATGTTTTACGCCCCTCTCAACACTTTTAGGTTATGTAAGAGGCAGGACCTCCGAGTTTTAGTTTTAGTAGAGGTTTTACGGCACTCACAACCGCATAAGGTCATATGAGCGCCAGAAGATTAGAGGTGTTACAAGAGAGTAACAAACATAAAAAAGAAGGAGGGGAGAAAAGGACGATAGACGTTTGATAGGAAAGAAGAAGCAAACCACACCAGAGCACCCGCCAACCACCCACGACCTCCGAGTTTAACGTCCATCTCCAAAAGGACCGAGCCAAGTGGGAAATTCGTGTAACGTGCCTTTCCCAAGTACACAACGTTGGACCGAGCTGAGGCTCGAACCCTTCAACTCGCAACTTCACCCCCACCACCACCACCACCACCACCACTAACAACAGCAACAACAACAACATGAACTCACTTAAAGGAAAAAATAAGGCAACACCACCACCACTGACAACACAACCAAACACAATAACAACAACAACAACAACAACAACTCACTTAAAGGCCAGGTGAGGCACCACCACCACCACCACAGCAACAACAACAGCAACAACAACAACAACAAGAACAACAAGAACAACACCACCACCACCACCACCTCCACCACCACCACAACAGCAACAACAACAACAACAACAAAAACAACAACGAACAGCAACAACAACAACAACTCACTTAAAGGCCAGGTGAGGCACCACCACCACCACCACAGCAACAACAACAGCAACAACAACAACAACAAGAACAACAAGAACAACACCACCACCACCACCACCTCCACCACCACCACAACAACAGCAACAACAACAACAACAAAAACAACAACGAACAGCAACAACAACAACAACTCACTTAAAGGTAAGGTGAGGCAACACCACCAC